AACAGCAGAAACAAAAACTGACCTGGTGTGGGGGCGTTCAAAGCTAGTTGAGTGTATCTCCTCACCACAGCTGTGATGCTGGGCTTCTCTGCAGCCGTGATGAGTTCCCAAACGAAGAACAACACAAGGTAAGTGAACATCTCAAAGGCGTTTAAAGGTTATTGTAATGATAATAATCATTCTTGCATTTGATGCAGCGCCTTATCACGTCATTAAGACGTCTTAAAGCGTTTCACAGCATATACTGTAAAGTGGATTGAATGTATATTTTGTGGGCGAAATGCGCTTAGACGTGTCCCACAAACAATCGTGGATTGAGTGACCACATTATTATTATTTGTTTTGAAGGGATTATTACCACCAGAAAGCAATCCGCCATTTGATTAATAACCAGGATCCTACTTACTGATAGGTAAACAGAGGAGTGCGGAATAAGGAAACTTGCCTCAGGTTTCGCCCTGTCGGAGAATTGAATCCGGGTCTCTCACCAAAACTTCACAGAACTCCACAAATAAGAACGTACCTTGATGAAAGATTGTTTTTTTTCTCTCAGCACCAAAAACGTAGAAAAGTAAACTTACTTTTGTTCTTAAAATTGTTTCTCAGCAACTTGTCAATCTCGTTCCTCATGAAAGTCAGAGAATTTGCAGCTGGGAATAAAAATGAAAGGGTGATGAAATATGTTGCTTACACACAGGAGCTGAATAATCTTTCTTAGACCATCGCACAATTCTTGAACCGGAGCCTGGCTCAGTGGGTAGTGCTCTTACCTCAGAGTCAGGATGTTGTGGGTTCAAGCTCCACTTTGAGTTCCTAACCTAGGCTAACACTCCAATACAGTGCTGGGGGCGAGGGTGGGGTGGGGGTTGGGGGGATGCTGCATTGTTGCAGGTGATGTCCTTCAAGTAAGGCATTAAACTGAGGTCTTGTCTGTTCAGGAGGATGATAAAGATCTCATGCACTATTCGAAAAGAGAAGGGAGTTTCTCCAGGTATCCTGGCCAACAATCACTCAGATAAACATGTTGTCTTTTTGCTTAACAGCTGTTTGTGAGACGTTAGAGATAGCAGTCAATTTACACACAGCAATGTCCCAAACAGCCACTTAGTGAGTGACCAATTTTATCTGGGGGATTGTGGGTCAGGACAACCAAAAGCAAATGGTATAATAATAATAAAAATAAATAATCCTTGCATGAGATATAGCATCTCATCACATTAATGAGACATCTCAAAGCACTTCCCAGAATATATTGTAAAGTGTATTTACTGTGTATTTTGTGGGTGAAGCTTGGCAGCCAATTACTCACAGCAGTCTCCCACAAACAGTCATGAATTGAGTGACCACATTTTTTTGGAGAGATTACTATATGATAATAATCCTTGCATTTGATATAACGCTTTATCACGTCTTCGAGACGTTTCAAAGCACTTCATAGAATATAGCATCCCAGAGGCCCTCCAACTGATAGCCTCCCTGCCCTCTCTCAAGATCTATCTCAAGACCTACTCTTCGACCACACCTTTGGATAACTTCCCCCCACCCCACCTCCCTCAGCTCCCACCCTCAGCTTGGGTGCCAAGCCAAGACTGTCAAGCGCCTTGGGATGTCCTCTGGACGTGAAAGGCACTGTACAAATGTAAATTGGTATTGCATTTTAGACAGAGATTCGTTCAGTCTTGACTGTTCTCTGAGGTTACTCACGTAATTCTGTAATGTTTATGTCTCCACGCTCCCTGTCTGTGATGAAAGCCTCCCCAAAAGTCCTCGGCATCTTCTGGCCTTGGAGGAAAGCGCTGATGATAGTGAGTTGAGAGGCACATCTGCTATCGTTCGGATGGGCCTGGGTTTGGGAGTGAAGGAGCCTCAAAGTGGAATCAAAGTTTGGTTCACATCTCAGACAGGAAGCACCAATACACGCCATCCAAGGCAATCCAACCGCTGTGAGCCACAGCATAGGCCTGGAGTCAGTGATCAACACTCTCATTTTCTGCTCTGCAGGTAGATAGGACCACACTAGAGCAACTTAACCAGACCTTAACTCTATGTGATAGAGAGGATTTCTCCTCTCTCTCTCTCTCTCTCTCTCTCCGTATCTCTCTCTAATTTCAATCTGCGGAATTTGGGAAAAAAAAGTCCTATTTGAAGGACGTTTCACTTAAACACATTGGCTCTGTCCCTTCTCCTCTCTAGTCACCTCCCCACTCCCTCTCCCCCTGGCTCGGCATCAGACTCCGCCACTGTCAAGTGCTCAGGGACGCTACCCTGCTTGAAGGGTGCTATGTAATTGCAAGTTGTTGTTGTTGTTGGCCACCTTGGACAGCAGGCGGTTGGTTAACCTCTCTGTTTTACAGGATCTTTGTCTTTATCAGGACGTGATGGGTTTGTTTCCCACTCTCCGGCTTGCTAGATCCTTATGAGCTGGTGGTTGGTTCCTGTGTAGGACGGTGGGACCTGCGCTCGAGTTCCGGGGAATGTGACACGTTTGTGACGTCACAAACCCTGGAGTCACCCACAGAAGCCGCGGGGCTCGACCCACACGAGCCCGGGAATGGGGGGGCGCGGGGGTGGGGGTGAGTGGGCTGGTCTGTGGCGCTTTTTGAGAAACGGATCAGGAGTTACACATGAGACAACACAAAACAATACCATCCGGTTTTCGATGCTTGCGACGCGTTCCAGCCGGCGCAGCGGTCCCAGCTGATACTCCGATCTCCATGAGAAAATCCCCACTTTTGCCGTGGAGGTTGGCCCGTTCTGGAGTTTGGACCCTGCAGGTTTCTGGCAACAATAATCCTACAAAAGGATAATCCTCACGTAAATAACGCCTTTCATGTCAGGATGCCATCTCAAAGTGCTTCACGCTGTAAAGGGGAATTACTGCGTATCTTTGGGTGAATGTAGCAGCCAGTTTTGAGCACAGCAACAAGTTACATTTACGTAGCTCCCCTCACACAGGGTAGCATCCCAGAGTGCAGCAATGTTCCACAAACAGCCATGGAATGAATGGGAAATTTTATTTGGGGCATTGTTGGTCAGGAAACCAGGAGAGAGAAACTCCCTTCTCTTTTCAAATAATGCCTTGGGATCTTCAACGTCCACCTAGACAGGCAGAGAGCCCTACACAGAGCTGACACCAGGAACAGTGTTGGGATTGCTAGTAGGAAAGCTTAGAATTCAGAGGATCAGTTGGGGTTGGAATTCATCACCTTGAGTAGCTAATGAGGCTGGATCAGTGGAATGGTTCAAAAAGAGAACTAGTTAAGAACCTGGACAGAAAAGCATTCAATGCTGTGAGGAAGCTGTAAAGTAGAACTCGTAAAATCAAAAGTGTGATTTGGAAAAAAAGGCAGCAGACCAAATGGCCTCTTGTTCATACTATTTCTGTGGTCGTATCTTAACAAAGAAGTGGGAATGTACAAGACAGGGAATAAGAGACCGAGGGCTTGCGTGGAGTATAAATACCGACATAGAATAGTTGAGCCAAATGGTCAGTTTCCTTGCTCTGTCTCTACGGAATTCAATGTAAGGGTGTGCAATGTAAGGGTGGAGTTGAGAGGAGACCGGGGATGAATGTACAATATCGCAGTGACTGATGCAGAAAGAGGTAACAAGATTTTGCACTGATATCACTGCTAGCAGATTGCTGTAGGAAGCCAGACTCAGTACATCATCAGAAGTTTAGAAGAAGGCCAATGTAGATTGTTGGTGTCCATTGGAGAATTGTTACATGTAACATACTACCAATGTATAATTAATGTGATATGATCCAAACCTCAGCGTCACAGTTTAAACAATGACTGTCACAAATGGCACCACAATGCACTTTTATTATATATAATATATACTTTATTTTTACAGCTGTTATGCAAACAAATAAAAACAAACAAATGGATTAAAATACCAATTGGCCAACAAAATCAATACATTTAGAGTTTCATTCTCAGAAATAGCCTTTTAAATATGACTCACTAATTCAGTAACTCATTCACAGTGAAATTATGAGCATAAGAATTACGAGACAAAAGAAGACTAAGGTTCATCCAGTTCGCCTTCCAACATCCTCGCAGTCACACATACATTTCATGTCCCAACCTATATACTGTATCCCAAGATATTATTTCCTAAAATAAATCTAATTTGCCACAACACAAAAAGGATTCCAGAAGTGAGCAAACAACTAATCAATTTTGACAACTGAGGAATACAACAACAACTTGTATTTACAAAGTGCCTTTCACTCAGGATAGCGTTTCAAAGTGCTTAAGCCAGACACCGAGCTGGGGGGCAGGGAAGAGGTGACCGTATGCACGGTTGATGAGGAACGTCTTCAGTCGAGATGTAAAAGAGGGGAAGGAGGGGGTAAGGTGGAGGTATTGAGGGAGAGAGTTCCAAAGTTTGGGCCGTAGTGGCTGAAGAACGGCCACTGATAGTGGAGGTGATGAGGAATGAGCCGGAGGCCAGAGCCAGACGAGCGGAGGCAGTGGGTAGTGGAGTGGGGAGAAAGCAGGTCAGAAAGGAATGGAGGTGCCAAGGCGTGAAGGGATTTGTAGATGAGTGAGAGGATTTTGAAATCGATCCGTTCTGTGATAGTAAGTCAGTGGAGTGGAACATGGCAAGGACTGCTGTGATGGGGGTAAGGAGTTTAGAATCTTTTTAAGGATGAGAATTAGGCAAACAGTCTATGCTCTGATGGTGCTAGTGAACTTGATGTGCGTTTTGAACTCACAATCTTTTGTCTCAGGGGCAAGAGTGCAAGCCGGGCTGACATCTTTTGGAAATGAATAATAATAATAATAATCCTTGCATTTGATATAGTGCCTTATCCAATTCTTGAGACATCTGAAAATATACTGTAAAGTTGATTGACTATATTTTGTTTGCGCACAGCAGTGGACTCAGTCGTGGATTGAGTGCCCAAATTATTATTATTATTACTTTTTTAAACTGATTATTACCCCCGGAAAAGCGATCCCCTGATCAACTACCAACTGGTTCCTGCTTACTGCTAGATAAACACAGGTGTGTGGAGTTAGGAAACTTGCCTGAGGTTTCTCCCTCCCAGGAATCCAACCCGGGTCCTCAAGGAAATTGTGACAGAACCACACACTTTCCAGGTCTCACTGAGTGAAAGTGAAATCAGAATTCAGAAGTATTATAGCTATTTATTTACTGGTACAATAATCTTCTTTCAAAAAATGTTGAAAATACATAATAAATCTTGCAATTTTTTTCTGTTAATATATGCTGTATGTTTTTTTTCCGCCTCCCTTTCTTCCTTTAGAATCTTTGCTCTGTTTCACATCCCAGAATTTCAACACGTAGGGCAATGTTTCGGTGCCAGTTTTGTGGGTATATTCTCAGGTACTGAGCAAATATAGGAGGCTCAATGGTATTACTGGCCTGGCTGTTGTTGTCCACGTTGCCTCTGAAGACCTGTAGAGTGAAACAGTTCAAGCAGGTTGTTAGTCGATTGGGGGATCACTTTCAGGGATAATAATCGCTAATCGATAATAATTTAAAAAAAATAATCAATAATAATTTGGTCACTCAATCCACAACTGTCTGTGCGCAATTGGCTCCCGTGTTTCACCCACAAAATACAGTCAATTCACTTTACAGTATATCCTGTGAAGCGCTTTGAGACGATTTCAATGACGTGATAAGGAACTATTTCAAATGCAAGGATTATTATTAATCATCCTTGCATTTGATATAGTGCCTTTTCGCATTGTCGAGATGTCTCAAAGCGCTTCACAGAAATCACTGTAAAGTGTAGTTACTGTGTATTTGTAGGCGAACGTAGCAACTGATTTGTGCACAGAAATGTCTCACAAACAACAATGGAGTGAGTGATCAAATTTATTTGGGGATTTTGTTGGCCAGGACACCGGGAGAAAGAAACTCCCTTCTCTATTTGAATAGTGCAATAATGCCCACCCAGAAGGCATCTCATCCAAAGGACTGCACCTCTGACAATGCAGCACACTAGCACTGCACTGGACTATCAGCCTAGATTATTTGGGTTCAAAGCCCCGATCCGGCTTTGAACCCACAAACTTCTGACTCAAAGGCGCGAGTGCTACCAACTGAGTCTGGCTGACATCTGTAGACCAAGACTGCCAGTCCCTGCAGCGTGGAGCTGGACACTCAGATGCTTTGTTACAGGTTTGCTTCCGTTACAAACATTGCGTCTGACTGTACTGAGTGTTGTCTGTGTGTTTCTATTACAAATCCGGTATTTTGTCAACAACTTTCATTTATACAGCGCCCTTCACACGGTGCAGCATCAGTGCAGGAGCCTGATGCTGAACTGGGGGGAGGGAAGAGTTGACCATAAGCACGGTCGAAGAGGAAGGTTGTTTTTCTAAATCCAAATCCCTGCCTGAGTCTCCAGCGCCTTGGAACGTCCTCCTGATGTGAAAGGCGCTTTACAAACGTAGTTTGTTGTGGTTTCTGTTTGTTGTCTTCAGTCGTGATCTAAAAGAGGGGAAGGAGGGGGCAAGGTGGAGGGATTGAAGGACAGAGTTCCAAACCTTCTGGGCATAAAGTGTCGGGACGTTGAGTGTGTTTTTTTGATACAAACCAATCCAGAACCTGCCTTTGCCTTGGTGCTTTGTTTGTCTTGAATGACTGTCCATGTGATGCCATCATCGCTGTGGGAGATGGTGTACTCCTTCACAAACATGGACCAGCCCAGACGCGAGGCCCCCTGGGTGATGATCCCTGTGATCTTTTTCCTTCTCAGGAAGTTGATCTGCAGCCACTCGTGAGGGTTGTTTCTCTGGAGGTGGAAAGCAGCTTTGATTGTTTGATCTCTCAAAATGATCCCTTAATACGCGGCATGAGTCAGTAATAATCTTTGCATTTGGTATTGTGCCGTTCATGTCAGGGGCACGCGTCTGTAGCTTGTTCATGCACATCCATTACAATGGCATTTATAAACCATTGGTGTGTATAGTGGAGTCCTATAGCTCAGTGGTTAGAGCACTAGTCTCACAAGCGAGAGACCTGGGTTCGATCTCGGCAGGGCGAAACGTTGGGCAAGTTTCCTTACTCCACATGCCTCTATTCACCCAGCAGGAAGTAGGAACCCGGTTGTTAGTCTATTGGTGGATCGCTTTTCTGGAGGTAATAATCCCTTATTTGGCCACTCAATCCACGACTGTCTGTGGGACACTGCTGTGCGCAATTGGCTGTCGCATTTCGGGCCACAATGTATACAATCAATTCACTTTACAGTATATTCTGTGAAGCTCTTTGAGACGTCTAGAAGATGTGATAAGGCTCTATATCAAATGCAAAGATTATTACTATATATTATGTGCGCCCCTCAGTCAGAATCTAGTCTGGACCACATGCCTGTTGGTGGTATAGCTGTAGTTACCTTTGGCACCCAGGCGTTACTGATGCCTTGCTGTTTGAGACGAGCCAGTGATGCTGTCCATGCATTCATGCTGACCCAGAAGGAGGAGGCACTGAGCTGGATATCTTTAATGATGCGTTTCTCCATCCCCAGAGGCAATGAGCAGCCTGACAGTGAGACAGAGTGTATGAGAGAGAGAGCCACACAGACACACACACACTCACACACAAACAGACACTGTTTGAGATTCTGCAGTGAGCAGTGAGTTTGCCCCTCCGTTAAAAACATTCAGCACAAATGGGAACTGTTCCAAGATTGCAAACCAGGAGCAAAACACAATGAAATCTGCCTCAAGATCTGAGCGCACAAGATCGCTGAAGGACATGATTGCTTCTTTTAAGGTGCCATTTACACCAATGATAATTAGAATTTTGATTTGTTTGTGGTGTGGCCAGGTGTCAGCCTGGCTCAGGTGGTCATGCTCTCACCTCCGGGTCAGAAGGTTGTGAGTTCAAGCTCCATCTCGAGGCTTTGAGAGCACTCCAGAGCACTCCCAGAGGAGTAATAATATTAATGATAATAATAAGGTGCCCTTTAACATAACATAAATGCTGGTGTCTTGGTCAGTGGGTCATCAATTCCTTTGTCGATGGTCATGTTTTCAAAACCCCCCATCCCCACCACACCCCCAGCTCACTGGTTATTTTCCTGCCTCTGTGGAGACTTACTCTGTACGTCACATCCCAGCAGCTCCATGCGCAATGCCAAGTTCTTGTCCGGCCTGGGGTACACCCTGATGTACCGGGCCACAATAGGGGGGTTAAAGTAGTTCTTCACCTGGCCCGTTCCATCCGTGTTTCCCACAAATACCTGGAATCAAACGGAAATGTGAAGCGAGCAAGACCCAGGGTTACTGCACCCCTGGTCCCTGTCACACACCTGGCAATAAGCCACTGGAATGGGGCTAGCTTGAAGGGCAAATCACTGGACTAATTTAAGAAGAGCTGGTGTTGTGATGGGAGGATGGAACTCTCTACCCGAAAAGGCTGTGGATGCAGCATCCATTCACATCTTCAAGACTGAGGTGGTTAGATATTTGTTAGGCCAGGGTATTAAAGGATAATATAATAATAATAATCCTTGCATTTGACATAGTGCCATATCACGTCTTCGAAATGTCTCAAAACACTTCATAGTGTATACTGTAGAGTGAATTGACTGTATATTTTTGTGGGCAAAATGTAGCAGCCAATTGCGCACAGCAGTGTCCCACAAAAGGGTCGTGGATTGAAGTGACCAAATTATAATTTTTTTTTGAAGGAATTATTACTCCTGGAAAAGCGATCCGCCAATTGACTAACAACAGGGTTCCTACTTACTGAGGAAACAGAGGTGTGTGGAGTAAGGAAACTTGCCCAACATTTCGCCCTAGCCAGAAATCGAACCCAGGTCTCTCGTTTGTGAGGCGAGCGCTCTAACTACTGAGCTACAGGACTCCACAGTTATGGGAAAAGGGCGGGTAATTGGACTAGAGGTACAGATCAGCCATGATCTTATAGAATGGTGGAACAGGCTGAAGGGGCTGAATGTCCTACTCCTGTTTCTATGTTTCTATGGGTATTCTCTTGTCACAAGAAATAGATGGTGTAGAACACTACATGTGCACAAAGGTGAAACTCTGCTGCAACTGTGAGTGGGCAAGTGGCCTAGCCTGTGTCACGGTGTCCAGTTTATATGGCTCCATTGCTTTTAAAGTTGACCTAAGAAGTGACTTACCATTTTGGGCATCACGCTATTGGCCTTGTATTCCTTCCAGGTAATCGTGTCCAGGCTGTAGGTGATATAAAACTTCTTTACGTAGAGTTGCTTGAAGTAGCGTTTGGCTCCCTGTGTGATTATTCCATGGACCAACATTGGAGTCCGCAAATCAACCTATTAGCACAACACCAAAATGAAGGACGGAGTTCAACAGACTCGAAAAATCTACCATTTATAAATATTATCTTCACTCCCCTTTTCAAACTCTGGGCGTGCTCTCCACAGTGGACCTTTGCCCTTCACCCAAGACACAACACAGTATAATTTACGCCGAGATAGCACCTTTCACGTCAAGTCAGGAGGACATCCCAAAGGGTTTGACATTTCCGGCTGCTATTCCAGCTCAGTGAGAGAAGCAGAATAAATTGACCAGTCATGTCTTCCAGTTTTATTTTTTTATCGGTGAGTCAGTTTAAGCCTGATCACCCCCATTAATCGAATTGGACCAAATCGTTCCACTTAGGGAATGAGCTTTGTTCAAGCCTCAATCCCCCTCCAAACTCTTCTAGGTCCGAAATTGTCAAAGGACAAAGTGTCGTCATGACCACCCGAGCAGGTCAGGTAATGGGATGGCCTCTCTGGCAGGGCAAGTCCGGCCTGAGCCTAGTCGCCAGGTGCTCAAGTGAGCTCTGCCTGGTGATCACTAAAATGTCACCTTGTGACAGGAAGATAAACCCTGTCACTGCTTGTTATGGTTATTGGCGCTCAACCGATGTGTAAAGGAATGTGTTGTTTCTTTGTGTGTGACTTGGGAAAAGAGTGCCTCAACACAGCGAGTTCACAAGGGCTGGACTGCAATCAGGCTTCATTGGAAGTCCAGCACTAAGTGATAATTGGGCACCAGTATAAAGGTGGGGACTAGTGAGATGTACGTGGAAGCTGGAGAAGACAGATGTAATAAAAAAGTACAGCTTTTTCTTCAAAATAAACCTTTCTTTATATCACTGTTTCACCATTTTGTTTACTGGGTGTGAATCATGCCCTCTTACACAACTCAACAATGAAATTCAATGCAGGCTCCTGCATTGAGTTCACAACTCATTCATTGTTGTGAATATATCACATTTTAATTGATAATAATAATAATACCTGAATCCACGGCCGCGGTCCTGTGGGTCTCCAGGCATTAATGGACCCGGTGTTCTGTAACCGTGCCAGTCTAGGTGCCCATTGACCTGTAAGATCCACCAGAATAATACCAGGTGTTAAGAAGTTAAATTATGATTACAGGTTGCTTAAACTCATTTTGTAGTGCCTTGAGTTTAGAAGGTTGAGAGATAATCTGATTCAGTTGTTTAAATTGATAAAGGAATTTGCTAGGGTAGATACAGAGAAACTATTTCCTCTGGTGGGGGAATCCAGGGCATCATCTTAAATAGAGCTAGGCCATTTAGGAGTGAAATTACGAGGCAGTTTTTCACACGAAGGGTTATGGAAATCTGGAACTCTCTCCCCCAAAAGGATCTGGAGCCATTCAAATTTTCAAGACTGAGGTGGATACATTTTTGTTAGGTCAGGGAATCAAAAGATATGGGGGCAAAGGTGGGTAAATGGAGTTGAAGTACACGAATACATCTTTACAAAATTGAAGAATGCCCTTATTATTTTAGACATCTGAAAATCCCTTCATGCCTTGGCACCTCCCTACCTTTCTAACCCCTTCACTCCCTGCTTCATTATCCGCTGCCTTCGGCCCCCCATTCCTTCTGCTCGACCATCGGCAGCCGCGCTTTTAGCCACTATGCCCCGAAGCTTTGGAACTCTCTCCCCTAATCCCTCCACATTGTCCTCCTCCTTCCCCTGTTTTAGATCACGACTGAAGACCGTCCTCTTTGACCGTGCTTATGGTCACCTCCCACCCCCCGCCTCCCCGCTAGCCATCAGGCTCCGCCATTGTTAAGCGCTCCGAGACGCTGGCCCACGTGAAGGCGCAATACAAATGAAAGTTTTTGCTGTATTTTCTGAGGGCAGTTGAGCAGTTGCTGAAATAGCAGAGCCAGTCAATTTCACACGATCCAAAGACATGTAATTAAAAGTAGTTGGAAACCTCACTCACCTTCATGGCTAGAAGCTGTGAGCTGAGAATCTTCTATTCTTCCACTTTCCAGACCCAGGGGCACCCTGCATTCTGGAATGTAAAGACATCCTCAGGTTTGTGAACCGTGATAATTCTCGTGTTAACATCAAGACATCTCAAAGGGCTTTATCGGTAATTGTCACCAAAGTCCCACCTGTAGCCATGAAGTGAATGTCCAATTTTATCTGGGGGACTGTTGGCCAAAAAACAAGGAGAAACTCCCTTCTCTTTTCGAGGGATCTTTAACGTTAACCTGAACAGGCAGTCACCTCCGACAATGTAATGTACTCCAGCAATGACCTGTGGTACATTAGTCAACTTAGACTGTGAGTTCAAAGATCCAGCGTGAAGCTTGAACCCACATTTAACTCAGAGGCTACAGTGCTACCAACTGAGCCAGGCTGACACACTGTTGAGCCAAAACCCTGAGGTGTACAGTAGCATGAATTTACAAATAAGTAAACTGGAAAAACTTGCCTACAAGTGCACTCACTACACTTGGCAAAAATTTCCTATGAAGCACTTTGGAGATCGAGCTCCCACTCCGGGGGGTGGGAGGGAGGGGGAGGGTTAGGAATTGAGGTTATGGATTTGGGAGAAGGAATACATACGTGGATTGTAGACTAGAGAGATGGCTCTCATCCCTGCCTGCTGATGTACACTAGTCTCACAGTCAAGCAACCAGTAGCCCACTTTGGTTGGGTACATTTCAATAGTCCCAAATGAGCCTGCGGAGATTGAACACATCAAAATGATCAATAAATGAGGAAATATCAAATTGAGAATAGTAATGTTCCAGCAAGTCTTTAAGTATAAAAACAGTGTGAGTTTGTTCCTGTACAATGAGCGGTGCGGGATATGTCAGTGCTATAGTGAGTTGGAGTGCAGAGTGTTACAATGAGGAGAGCAGCTTTAGCAGAGAGTGTTACAGTGAGGGGAATGGGTAGAATAATAATAATAATAATCCCTGCATTTGATATAGCGCCTTATCACGTCTTCAAGACGTTTCAAAATGCTTCGCAGAATATATTATAAAATGAATTGACTGTACTTTGTGGGCGAGAAGCCGCAGCCAATTGCGCACAGCAGCGTCCCACGAACAGGCGATTGAGTGGCCAAATTATTATCATCTATTTTTTAACGGATTATTAGCCCCAGAAAAGCGATCCACCAATCTAACAACTGGGTTCTTATTTATTGTTAGGTGAACAGAGGCTCGTGGAGTAAGGAAACTTGCCTAACGTTTCGCCTGCTCGGGAATCGAACACGGGTCTTCTCGCTTGCTGTTAGTGTTTCAGTGAAGGGAGTGGGTATAGCAGACAGTGTTATAGTGAGGAGAGTGATTATCAGATTGTTACAGTGAGGAGAGTGGAGGACACTGGAGAAAGAAGAGGAGAATTGTTATGTATATTGGAGAGACAGTCAGTATATGATTGGCCTCTTTGATACCCACCAGGGAAGAGTGTGTAAACTCCCATCCTGTGCTCCTTGGTTCTCCTCATTGCAAAGGGCTGACTGTGGAAGTGCACACTGTAGATTTCAGCCGACATTGCCATGTTGATCAGGTACCAGCGCACCAAGCGATACTGTGCCATGACCAGCCCAGGCAGCGTCTCTGCCACATATCCATTGATCGCTATAATATCAGGAGATCAAACAAGCATCAGTGCATTGTTTATCACTTGATCATCCTCAAATGTCCCATTTTTGTATACAATGAGGGCATTAATTTGATACCTATTGGGCTTGTGGGTTTGATAGACGTGGGTGCCTTGGATTGACATATATTAGGGGTACTTTTGTTTGAGAGACAGGGGGTTCAATGGTTCAGTGAGTAGTCACCCAACCATCACCTATAATATCTCTGTCATTGGCCAGCTGAAGGGTTATCATTTACACATTAAATGGTTCGTCTTGTTTTCTCCTCCACCTTCAATGGAATGCTCTGCTGTCAGGGTAACAGGTAGCACAGACACCCCCCAACAGAGGCGGGTGGATATGAGGGACTGACGCAATCTCACGCGCATCAGAACGTGGGAGGTTTTAATCATAAGATCTCACAGAGGCTCCAGTTTTTTTCTTAATCCTTTCTTCTCTCGTCCCTTTTAGGGTTTTCTTAATTTCCTTCCCATAAATCTGGCCTGGAAACTGCTCACAGGCTTCTGGCCTGGCTTTGCTAGGAAACAAGTGCTGTTAGAATTCACTGGGTTGCTAGGAAGCCACTGGGATGCTAGGAAGCGCCAGGTTGCTAGGAAGTGCCAGGTTGCTAGGAAGTGCCGGGTTGCTAGGAAGTGCCGGGTTGCTAGGAAGCCACTGGGTTGCTAGGAAGCCACTGGGTTGCTAGGAAGCCACTGGGATGCTAGGAAGCCACTGGGATGCTAGGAAGCCACTGGGATGCTAGGAAGCCACTGGGATGCTAGGAAGCCACTGGGATGCTAGGAAGCCACTGGGATGCTAGGAAGCCACTGGGATGCTAGGAAGCCACTGGGATGCTAGGAAGCCACTGGGATGCTAGGAAGCCACTGGGATGCTAGGAAGCCACTGGGATGCTAGGAAGTGCCGGGTTGCTAGGAAGTTTGGAGATGTGAGGTCCGAAGTGCTGCCCTACCAAACCAAGCTCAGTCACCAGCGGAGCTGAGAAACAGTACGTTGCCCATTCACGACAAAAGCAAATTAGTAGCTGCCCTTATCTAATAGAAAGCTGCCGGCCTTACTGTGGAACCTGTTGCTGGCTCGAAATGTGGGACTCTCTGGTCTGATGTGGCAGGGGGTCTTGCAGAAGATTTGGATGTTGTCCTCCAGGTACCAACTCTTGTTTTCATCAAAAGTCAGGAAAAGCAATGAGAATTCCTGAACCTTCGGTGTCATGTCAGAGACCTTGTTCAACGTTCCCGCTTTACAGACAATTAAAGGACCAATCAGGCCTGAATGGATGTCTCGTTCCTGGTGAGAGAAAAACAGCCCAATAACCAACTCTACCACTGGCTTCACACATCTCCCTGCCAGGCCTACAGCTCAGGCTCCATCACTTATAATAATCCTTGCATTTGATAGAGCACATCACGTCGTTCAGACATCTCAAAGCACTTCACAGGATATAAAGTCTAGTGACTATATTTTGTGGGCAAAACGTGGTAGCCAATTGTGCACAGCAGTATTACACAAACAGTCATGGATGGAGTGACCAAATTAGTACTTTTATTTCTTTTTGAAGGGATTATTATGCCCAGAAAGTGATCTGTCAATCGACTAATCAACCTCCTACTTACTGCTGGGTAAACAGAGGCATGTGGAGTAAGGAAACTTTCCTAAGGTTTCGCCCTGCCTGGAAATCGAACCCTGGTCCTCTCGCTTGCGAGGCAAGTGCTCTAACCACTAAGCTACAAGATTTGAACCATAGTCAACAAATTCTTTTAAAAAGGAATGAGATAGAATCTTGAAAAGGAGGAATGTTAAAGGGTTTGAGGATAGAGCAACAAAGTGTGTGTCAATTAGATTAGATGTCTTATGTTCTGAAAAACACCAGTGTAGACTTGATGTTTCTTGTGTGACCATATATTCCTGATTCTCGGAGCCAGTCCCCAGATGAAGTATTGTGTCCCTGGGGCCAAATTTGTCCTGTCTTGGGTTCACCAACAAACTGAGCAAAAACAATAACATTTTAAAACACATCCACTCATCAGAGAAACACAACCATTAACCCATCATGTTTCTCCAGTAACTGACAGCATCTGGTATTGTGGCGAGCTCAATTTTCAATTTTTATACATATTTGTCTCCGGATTTGGTTTAAAAAAATATGGTCATCCTCGTGTTTTTTCTGTAACACTGAATGACCCACTTACTGGATTGACATCTGAGTAATATGTCCAGGCTCTGCAGTCAAAGTCCTTGTTAGTGGGCGCTGAGCCCTTTGTTACGTGCCAGATGTACATCTTTGTTTCGTTGGGATACGCAATGTCCTCCTCTTTTCTGGGCCAGATCACCTTCTCCTCCTCGTCCATGTATTCCTCAGGTATATCGCGCGACACACCGTGAGCGTGAATGGAGAAGGGCTTGGATGCCATATTCTTAAACTTCACCTGTTAATAATAATAATAATAATAATAATCCTTGCATTTGATATAGCACTTTTCACATCGGGAGGACGTCCCAAAGCGCTTCACAGAACACACTGTAAAGTGAATTGACTGTATATTTGTGGGCGAACGCAGCAGCCAATTGCGCACAGCAATGTCCCACAGACAGTCGTAGATTGAAAATGACCAATTCATTATTGTTTTTGGTTTTGGAGGGATTATTATTAGGCTCTGTGTGGAGTAAGGAAACTTGCCCAAGGTTTCGCCTCTGCCTGGAATTGAACTCAGGTCTCTCACTTGCAAAACGAGTGGTCTAACCACTGAGCTACAGGACTCCAATAATCCTTGCATTCAAAATAGCGCCTTATTACTTTGTTGAGACGTCTCAAAGTGCTTCACAGGATATACTGTAAAGTGGATTTACTGTGTATTTTGTGGGTGAAACACGGCAGCTGATTGCGCACAGCAATGTCCCACAAACAGCCAAGGAATGAGTAAACAATTTTATTTGGGGGATTGTTGGCCAGGACAACGGGAGAGAGAAACTCCCTTCTCTTTTTGAATAGTGCCATGGAATCTTTAACATCCACCTGAAAGGCAAATGAAACTTGATTTAATGTCTCATCCAAAGGACGGCACCTCTGACAATGCAACACCCCCCCCGCTTAGACTGTGCGATTCCAAGTCTCGACATGGGGCTTGAACCCACACACTTCTGACTCAGGTTGTTGTGAACAGAATTGCTTTACAATAGGAATAGACATTACCAGAAGGTAGGAACAAAGCTGGGAAACTGTTCACTACAGGGTGAAGGTTCCGAAAGTGTAGTCAAAGAGGAAGGTCTTGTGATGAACCTCGAAAAAGGCAACGGAGGGGACAGGTTGAAGGAAGAGGGGGCAGATAGGCTAAACCTGACTTATGATGGTGGGTCGGATAGAGTGCTGCTGCCCTCTGATTGGAAGTCTTGGCTGGGTTGGTACAATATGAGAAGGTTGCAGAGGTAGAGCAGGACAAGGTCATGGAGGGATTTAAAGGTGAAATTCCACTTATGGGGTAACTCACCACAATGATTTCATTAACCTCCGCAATGATGACAGGTCCAAGAATTCCCAAATGTTCCTCAAATTCTCCCCGGATCACGGGCTGCCGGAAGGTGTTGTCCATGTATTGCTGAAACACCACTTTCTTGAACTTGTTTCCCAGCCTCTGACCTCTCAGTTGTTGGACCCTAAAACCAATAACCTCCGCCGGTCAATGTAAGAGAATTTCACCCTTGTCCAACGCGACATTGACATTAATATAATGGATTTTATTAATAATAATCCTTGCATTTGATGTAGTGCTTGGAATATCATATAGAGGGAAACGACTGTGTATTTCTAGGCTAATGCAGCAGACAATTTACGCGCAGGAATGTCCCACAAACAAATGTGAATTTAATGATCAATTTTACCCAGAGGATTGCGGGAGGAACTCCGTTGTGTTTTCAAATAACGTCAATATTCCGAAACTTGAACGTGGGTAGGCAGAACCTCAGGTTAACATCTCATCTAAAAGATGGCATCGGCAACAATGCAATGCCCTCCCCACTACTGCGCCCAAGTACATTGAACTCAACTTCCGTTGTTGGGCTTGAGCCTTCAGATTTCTGACCCTGAGTGGTACCCACCAGACCCAGGCTGACACATAGAGCACAGAATTTAATTAAATTTACCTTAGCTTGGAGGCTTGAGCTGTTTGGCTGCCTTTGTAATCCCAGATAGTCTCTATAGCTGCAATGAAGAAGTGCCTCAAATGTGAACCGGACGATCGTGGAATCAGACTCGGCCAATCCTCTGGACACCAGTCTAAATCAGCGAAAGTCCTGAAATTAGTACCTCCGATTCCTCCATAGTCTGTTTCATTGATATCTCCACTGCCTTCTTTCTCATACTCCTCATAGTCAAAATAATCAGACTCTTTACTGTCTTGGGAAGAGTTTCTGGGTCCTGTGGCTAGATGTTCCTCACTGGAGGTCCAATTAGGTGTTGCGCTTTGTGTTTCCTTGAGACCTAGATTTGTCTCATTGTACCTCAGTTTTGTCCCCTCCGTCTTGTTGTTGCTTATCTGTTCAAAGGTTAAGACTTTGGGAAGCCTGGTCTTTGTGGTTGTCTTGTCTGGCCATTTGATGCTGTGGTTAGATTTCACTCCGTCAGTCAGTACAATGTCCTCCTGCTTCAGGATCTGATTTTCAAGGAGCAAGTGTGTTTGTTTGGCATTTTCCCCAGTGATGCTCAGGTTAGATTGCAGTTGATTGCTTGACGTGATGCCCTTCATTCTATTTGATTGAGAAGCATTGTTTGAGCTGTGGTTTGCTTGGACCGACTGGCTAACATTCTGATCCTTGTGTCCACCAACTGCAGCGCCAACTGGGAATGAAGAGTTACTGTGTGTTTTTCCTGATCCTATTGCATCCTCAGTGGCTTCCTTGTCAAGGGTTACAGTGGAATCATCTGCAATAACTTGTCTCTTATTCCTTTCACTGCTTTCATGAGCCAAATGGTTTAGAGGGTGATTTTCTTGATCTTCCACACTCAGTTGCTCAGCTAATGGGGGATGTTGCCTCGCCCCACAAAGTAACCAGATGGGGTCTTCCTCTCCCGGGATTATTGCCTCATCATCTGTGCTGTTCAGCAGTTCCTCTATGTTAATGGTCTCATTGAGATCTAGTTGGCTGGCCTTCCTGAATCCTCTTGGCCTCAGGAATAAGTTCATCATTTCATCCTCCAGGACATTGCCATAGGCCAAATCCTCCTCCTCAGTGTTAATAAAGTTCACCAGGTTCTCATAATTCTCTTCCTCATTGTCGCAGTTACGAACTGTGAATTTTGCCCTCATGCCCCGGCTTTGGTATTGATAGTTCAAGGGCTTCAGAAGCCACTGACCTGGTGGTTAGGATATTAGCAACAAGGTTATTGGCAATAATAATAATCCTTGCATTTGATGTAATGCTTTATCGTGGCTTTGAGACGTCTCAAAAGGTAGCCAATTGTGAAAACAGTTGTGGATTGAGTGGATTATTATTCTTTTTATTTATTTATGTATCTGTCTGTCGGTCGGTTGGGCGGTCGATTGATTGAAGGGTTTATTACCCCCAAAAAGGCAATCCACTAATCGACTAACAACCGGGTTCCTACTTACTAGGTAAACTACAGGACTAAAATCCTAAGCTACAGGACTTCACAATAATAATGCAAGTGCCAAAATACCAAGAGAGAATCCATAGCTGCTATGTAAATCCTTGTGTATGATCATATATAGCACCTAATGCAGCAGAAAGCTGCTTTGGCATGAAATGTATGAATTAGCTGAAAGCTAATCTATATTAGCTAAAAAGAAAGCAATAGAGAAAGTAAAAGCACTGGGCCCATTCCAACCCTAGTGTAGGTAACAAGCAGTGAGTGTGTTATATATAAACCAATTAATTCACAAAAGAAGGAAAAACAGTTAGATCTCCACTGGAGATCATGTCTTCCATCCCTCCCCAAATCCTCCCTCCCTTCCCCATCCCCCCTCCCTCCCTCCCTCCCTCCCCCAACCCTCCCTCCCCCACTTTTTCCCTATCCCCCTCCCTCTCCCATCCATCCAATAAAATGAACTAGGCTCTTCATTACTGACCAATGTTATCCATATCCATGCGGATTGTTTCACCAGAAAATGGGAAGAGGGTCAACACATCCTCATAGATCCCATCACGCTTGAAGGTTTGGCCGTGGAAGTAGAGCGAAAGGATGTCATTCTGGGCCCCAACGATCACATGCCAGAATATGTCCTCTTTCAAGCAGAAATCTAGGTTTGGGGCACTTTCATTCACAAATCCATTGATACCTGCAAGATACAGACATACATGTCAAGACTGAAGGATATCACATTAATACTGTAGGATATTGCAGACTGTGTCAGCCTGGCTCAGTTGGTAGCACTTTTGCCTCTGAGTCAGAAGGTTGTGGGTTCAAGCCCTACATTCGAACTTTGAAGTCACCGTTTGGCTGACATTTCAGCACAATGCCGGAGGAGCACTATAATGTTGGAGGTGCCGTCCTTCAGAGGAGATGTTAAACTGATGTCTGCCTGATAAAGATGCCATGGCACTATTGTGCGTAAATTTTGTTACACTGTACAGCAAATCCTGCAAAGCGCTTTGAGAAATCGCAGCAACATGAAATGGTGCTCTATCAAGGATTTAACATTGTACTAAATTATACTACAAAATTTTGCATATCAATACTTAATACTGAAGGAATGCGGAAAGAACAGTAGAGCCAGAGCATAGTGCTGGAGGAGGTTGCAGAATGCAGGAAGGGGCAAGATTGTGAAGGACAGACAAGGATCTTGAAGTCGATTTGGGTACAGTTGAGCTTTTTGATTTTTTTGAAGAATTACAAGCAACTTTTTACCAGGAGGAGGGACTTCAATTCTGTGGAGAAACTAGAGAGGCTGGAACTGTTCTCTTTAGAGCAGAGAAGGTTGAGGGGAGATTTAATAGAGGTATTCAAAATTATGAGGGGTTTTGATAGAGTAAATAGAGAGAAACTGTTTCCCCTGGTGGGTGGGTCGGAAACCAGAGGACACAGATTTAAGATAATGGGCAAAAGAACCAGAGGGGAAACAAGAATTTTTTTTAACCCAGAGAGTTGTTACGATCTGGAATGCACTGCCTGAAAGGGATTCAATAATAATTTTCAAAAGGGAATTGGATAGGTACTTGAAAAGGAAAAATTTGCAGGGTTATGGGGTAAGCGCGGAGATGGGACTAGTTGGTAGCTCTTTCAAAGAGCCGACACAGGCACAATCGGCCAAATGGCCTCCTTCTGCGGTGTAAGATTCTATGATTCTGTGGGTGAAGCAACATTGAACACTCACTGTACATTAAATTTGATTGGTAGAACTCAGGATCTTTTGTGTTCACCGATGACGGCTCCTCGCAATACTTCTGGATATTCTCATTGATGTACCAGCTCTTGTTCTCATCAAAGAGGGAGAGCAGGAGGTACTTGGATCGGTCGATCTTGATCTGTGAAGAATTACAGGATGTATTAGAGTCTAACTGAGGACACCATGGGTTTGTCTGCCAAGATAACTCCTTCAGAGTTGAAATTCGCCAGAGTTGAGGCGAGCAGTAGACCCATATGTGATTTATTTTCTCATCTCCAATGTAGCCTCAGCATCTATCCAACAAGATCTCTCCTGCTCTGGCTCACATCAGAAACTAGGGTAGAATTTTACCATTCTGCAACACTACGTGCCAGCAATCCCTGCTCCGCACCAATGATAATAATAATAATTTTTGCATTTGATATTGCGATTCATCACATCATTGAGACATCTCAAAATGCTTCACGGCCAATTGCAAACAGCAGTGTCCCACAAACAGTCATGGATTGAGTAACCCAATTTTTTTAAAGGGATTATTACCCCTGATTAGTGATCTGCCAATTGACTAACAAGCAGGTTACTACTTACTGCTAGGTAAACAGAGTTGCGCGGAGTATGGAAACTTGCCTAAGATTTCGCCCTGCCCGGGAATCAAACCCCGGTCCTCTCACTCGCAAAGGGAGTGCTCTAACTAACCAACTTCCTACGGAACTCTACCTTGCCCTCCTATCTCCATTGGAGTAATATAGCAAACATTTGTGGAGTCCTGTAGCTCAGTGGTTAGAGCACTCGCTTTGCACGCGAGAGACCTGAGTTCAATTCCAGGCAGAGGGCGAAACCTTTGGCAAGTTTCCTTACTCCACACAGAGCCTAATAATAATCCCTCCAAAACCAAAAACATTAATAAATCGGTCATTTTCAATCTACGACTGTTTGTGGGACATTGCTGTGCGCAATTGGCTGCCGCGTTCGCCCACAAATATACAGTCAATTCACTTTACAGTGTGTTCTGTGAAGTGCTTTGGGACATCCTCCCGACGTGAAAAGCGCTATATCAAATGCAAGGATTATTATTATTATTATGGAAATAAGGAACATCTTGGAGATCTTGGTCTATCTGATGGGTTGTACCTCTCCATTGGTGGAGATTTAATGCCCGCTCACACAACCTCGTGAACCCTGGCATTGCCCAGGCAGAGAGTGTCCTCACCGGCCTGGCGTTCATGTTCAGCATTTCCTTCCGGCAGATCAGCATCGGCCCGATGAGCCCGGAGGCCATGTCGCGCACCACGTCCACGCTGCTGAAGTAGAAGTGAGTCTGGCAGCCTGGGTCAGACTGGGTGGGCCCGTCACTCTCGGTCACGTTCCAGAAGTAAGTGACGACCTCATTGGGCTGCACAGAGTGGTTCATCACATGATGATCTGTAAACAACAACAATTTGCATTGATATAGCGCCCCCTCATACAGGGTAATGTCCCAGAACGCTTAACAGTGGCACAGCCTGACCCCAAGCCGGGGGAAGGTGACCGTAAGCATAGTCAAAGAGCAAAGTCCTGGAGGGCAACCATTCACATTTACTGTGACCCCCTGCCCCCCATCCTCATGTAATGGGGTAATTTACAGCCCAGGTAGTCTGCTGGTTTCACAGATAGGTCAATGAGCAGTGTGTTCAGATGGGGAGCTATAATATAAATATTACAAATAACAATAATAATAATTTGGCCATCAATCCACAACTGTTTGTGGGACATTGCTGTGCGCAATTGGCTGCCACGTTCGCCCACAAATATACAGTCAATTCACTTTACAGTGTGTTCTGTGAAGCGCTTTGGGACGTCCTCCCGACGTGAAAAGCGCTATATTAAATGCAAGGATTATTATTATTATTATTATTATAACGTGATAAGGCTCTATATCAAATCCAAGGATTTTTATTTATTATTAACCAGAAGATGGGGAAAGAAGGGAGCTAGTTGGAGGGATTGAGAGAGAATGTTCCAGAGTTTCAGGGCACAGTGGCTGAAAGCGCAAACCACCAATGATGGAATGGACGGCACGTAGGACAAGCAGGAGGCCAGAGAAAGCGGAGCAGAGACAACGGCGTGGAGTGAGGAATAAGCAGGTCGGAGAGGTAGGGAGGTGCCAGGGTGTGAAGGGATTTGAGGACGAGTGTAAAAATCTTGAAATTGATCTGTTTGGTGATCGGGAGCAAGTGGAGCCTGGCCAGGACTGATGTCATGGATGGATGGTGTTTAAAGAGGGAAGAGAATCCAATCTGCGGCCACACACAGCCAAGCATCAGTTTCAGTCAATTAAGGACATCCGCCTGTCGCTCAGTGCTCTTTAGAATGAATATCACAAAACAACCAGTGACCTCAGTACCAAGCCTTTACCGTTCAACATTACAGAAGTTTGCTGGAATCGTTCTGTTACAGAGACGTTCAGCGACATGGGGATACAGTCTCGAGCTCAGACAAGGGAAGGTGAAAAGACGGTATGGATTGAATCACTTTACACAGAGAACAATGAATACATCCCCAAATAGATGAACCAGCTGGGCAGATTGTGTCAACAAGTTGAAGAGGGAATTGGATAGCTAAATGGTAAGGAATTTGATCCGAGATCCAGAGAAGTGTATGAGTTTTGTTTTTTCCTGTTTTTAATTTCCCTCCCAACTCCCACCTCTTCAAAGGCAATGCAGTCACCTTCCCCCTTCCTCCCCTCTCCCTTGCTTTGGCGTCCAACTCTGTCCTTATAAACCACTCCTGGTGTTACCCAACGTGAAGGCTACTATATAAATGCAAGTTGCTGTCCATACTTACCTCCAGCTGTTTCCACTTTTATCTTGGTCAGTCCATGGGGGTTAAGGTTGTATGGTCTACTTGCTAGATTCTTAAACACAATCTGTGGTGCACAGGAGAGGAGCACTTTAAAGACGCGGAAATTGATAACTTAGCAATGATCAATTCAGTGGATGGGGCACTTCATTCTCCTGGACACTCACAAAATAGAGGAGTACAGGGATTTTAATATCTTGATACCATTTTGGCTACAAAATATTGGTGGTTGGCCCAATCACTCAGGTTACACATCGGGGAGTGCAGACTGAATCCCAGGGCAGATAGACACTTAATTCTCATCACATCAATTTCACCCACAGAATACACGGTCAATCCACTTTACAATCTATCCTGTGAAGCGCTTTGAGATGTGTCAACGATTTGATAAGGCGCTATATTAAATGCAAGGATTATTATTACCTTACCAGTCATACACGTGAGAAGGCTTGTTAACTTTGCAGTGAAGGTTTAGTGTACATTAGAGATATATCAGAGCGTTACAGTGAGGGCTGCAGCAAACTAGATAACCCATAAACAAAACCAAGGGAATCAGGTGAAAAGTGGGATTAATAAAACGGTGATTTAGAAAGCTGGCACATAAAACAATGGAGCCACATGGCCTCCTTCTGGTCTGAAATCCTGTGGTCCTATGTCGCGACACTGACTATATACAATACATTACATTTGTAAAGCGCCTTTCACGTCAGGAGGACGTCCCAAGCATCTGAACAGTCAGAAATTAGGACCCGGAGTGGTGGGATCAGGTGGGGTGGAGGGCAGAGAGGGTTGGAGGGTGACTGAAGGCACGGTTGAAGAGGAGTGTCTTGAGGCGTGCCTTGAAGGAGGCAAGGGAGGGAGAGAGGCAAAGGGAATGTGGGATGGAGTTCCAAAGGGTGGGGGCAGAGAGTCTGAAGGCCCAACCACTGATGGTGGGGCGGGCCAGGTGGGGGGTGGGGTTTGCAGGCTGAACAGAGCCTGCTGAGTATAGGGAGTGGACAGGTTGATAAGGGGTCAGCAGATCAGAGAGGTAGGAGGATACCCGAGGAAGGAGGACTGAAACCCACCTTAAAGCGATCCCCAACTTCGCCGCGTAGCACTGGCCCCAGGATGCCCTTTGATGACTTTGGGTTTGGTTTGTACTTGACAATGGTGAAGGTGTTGTCTGTGTACTCGACGTAAACGGCCTTTTTATACTCCTTCCCAATCCGGTTGGGGTTTCTTTCCAGCTTCTGGCTTCTTAATCGAAAGGCAGATAGAGAATATTCACTGGGCTCTAGGTTTTTAAGCCTTTTTTTGAGAAAGATCGAATTCTCTTACTCTATATCAGACTTGTGCCACATTCCACCCTCCACCCCCCCCCCGAGTGCAATCATTGGAATGTATAGGTACGTTTTTTTTTAGTCAGCCGGTCTGACACGTGGAAACCCATCACCGTGCTTAACAGTATCCAAACCAAGCTGAGCATTCCATGCATCCCACCTACACACGGAAATTCCAGAGTTAGATTGTTGGAATGGATACGTAGACTATGGACCCTGAGGTAAGACACATCAGTTTAGTTCTCAGCCTGGCTTAGTTGGTGGTACTCTCACCCCTGGGTCAGAAGGCTGCAGATTCAAGGTCTACACTAGGAATATGAGCTTGTGATCCAGGCTAATGCTCCAATGTCAGAAGTGACGTAATTTGGGTGAGATGTTAAATTGTTCAACTTGACTTTAATGATTGCATTACAGAAACTGAAAGGCAATTGGAACTCCTCCCGGTGTCCTGGCCAAACAGTTAGACATTCATCAAATGGTTGTTTGTGAGACATCGCTGAGCACAAAATAGCTGCCACATTTGGCTTTCACTTGACAATAATTTCGGTAAAACGCTTTGAGACTTCTCAAAATATCAAGTTGCTGTAAAAATGCAATTTTCTAAAAATGTTTGTGGGACACTGCTGTGCGCAATTGGCTGCTGCATTTCGCCCACAAAATAGACAGTCAACACACTTTACAGTATATTCTGTGAGGGGCTTTGAGATAGCTCAACGACGTGATAAGGCGCTAATAATCCAAGGATTATTATTGAGTCAGTCTTCCCTTCCTCTGTACATTTGTCCAACAGGTAGACATTGGAGAGGTCCCTATAGGAAACACCGTGCAAGTTGGGGAAAGCCCAAGAACATCGGTAAAATTGACAATGGAAAGACTGTACCTGCTGCCCGGGGCAGGAGGGCTTGGTGCATAATCCCAATCACATTCCTCGGCAGTGATATAATGAATCCACTCAATTGGCCGTTGCTTGGTTGACATTGTTCTCATCATGTATTTCATCTGGATATTGAAGTTGTCCTTGTCGTTGTCCTCCTCATCCTCCTCGGTCTCTACCCAAGTTAGTGTCTGCCAAGGAGCATGGCTGCTGTCTTCCTCGCAGATTCCCTCTTCAGTAACGTAAGCCGTCATTCCAGCTGTTAACACGGAAGAGCAGGAAAGAAGGAACTTGAGAATTTGGGAAACATAATAATTAATAATAATAATTCTTACATTCAATACAGCGCCTATCACATCTCGACGACATCTCAAAGAACAACAACAACAACTCAAATTTATATAGCGCCCTCCACGCCAGACGGCGTCTCAGAGCGCTTCACAGTAACGGATCTTGGGGCCGAGCCAGGGGGAGGGGGAAGGAAGGTGACTAAAGGTGCGGTCGAAAAAAAAAGTCTTCAGCCGAGACCTGAAAATAGGAAGAGAGGTGAAGGGAGTGAGGAAGGGAGTTCCAGAGCCTCGGGGCATAGTGGCTGAAGGCATCGCTGCCGAAGGTGGAGCGGAGGACTCGGGGGACAAGGAGGAGGCCAGACCTGGTGGAACAAAGGCAACGGGCACTGTTTTGAGGAGAGAGGAGGTCAGAGAGGTAGGGGGTGCAGAAGAGTGGAGGGATTTGAAGACAAGGGTGAGGATTTTGAAGTCGATCCTCTCTGGGTCAGGCAGCCAATGCAGTTTGGCAAGGACTGGGGGGATCGGGAAGCGGAGTTTGGTGCGGGTAAGAATGTGGGCGGCAGAGTTTTGTATGACTTGGATTTTATGGATGGTAGTGGAGGGGAGACCGGCGAGGAGGGCATTTGAATAGTCCAACTGAGAGGTGACAAAGGCATGGACCAGCTCTTCACAGCACACATTGTAAAGTCTACTAATGATCTAGTTTGTGGATATACGCAGCTGCCAATTTGCACACTTTAATAATGGTAATGATAATAATCCTTGCATTTGATATAGTGCCTTATCATGTCTTTGAGATGTCAGAATATACTGTAAAGTGAATTGACTGTATATTTTGTGGGCGAAATGTGGCAGCCAATTGCACACAGCAGTGTCCCTCAATCATGAAGTGAGTGATCAATTTTCTCTGGGGGATTGTTGACCGGGACACACATGTGAAAACTGCCTTATCTTTATGAATAGTGCTATGGGATCTTTAACATTCGTCGGAGCAAGCAAACGGGGCCTTGGTTTAACATCATCTGAAGTGCGGCACCTATAACAATGTAGCACTTCCCCCATCAGGACATTGAAATGCCAGCTTAGACTGCATGGGTTCCAAGTCCCCACATGGGGCTTGAATCAAACCATCAAGATGTTAAACCATACAAACTTGGCCGATCTTTCTGTTCTGCAGGCACTGGTCTGCTTCAGTTCCCCTGCCCTTCTTGCCCCACTTTCAACAGTCAGCTTTCAGGCCTGCCTGCCTTCCTGTCTGGAACTCCATCCTAGAGTGTTTCTGACTCACTCCTTCCCTCACCTCCTTCAAGGCCCACCTCAAGATCTTCCTCTTTGACCATGCCTTCGGTCATCTCCCACCCCTCCATCCCCATCTCGTTCGGTTCCTACTCCCACCTCGGGTGCAAATCTGGTGGACTGTCAAGCCCCTTTGGGATGTCCTCCCAATGAGAAAGGCAGTATATAAATAAAAATCTGTTGTTGTTGAATTCATAACCTTCTGACTTGGAGGCGAGTGTGCTACCAACTGAGCCAGCCTTACGCTAAAGAAAATGATCTTTAACTAAGAGTTCTTCTTAATTATGTATAATGATGAGCACTTTTGTGAGCAGTCCCTACCTATTAGAGGTGTGCGTAACTGGGAGCAGGATTGGATTCCATTGTGCTGCCCCATCTCCCTCCGGTCAAGCAACCTCTGATAATAATCAATCTGACACACCAACGAGTAGCCATCAGGAACAATTCATTGCAGGCAATGTTGACTGACTGTGTCTATTGTGTAACATTGTGCAACAAAGTCAGCTGAGCACCTGTGGTGTTTCTTTTCTGTTTTATTAACTTCTATCTTCCTGGAAACATTTGGGTCCTTGTTCCAATAGATTCCACAACTACTAGTCACCCTCCAACACTGGACTTGACTCATTTGGGATTTTTTTTCATGTGAGCCTCTTGCAGGCGAGTTACTTGAGCAAGATCCCGAACTTCGGATGAGTTGTTGAATCAAGGTCCCGTCTACCTGTTCAGGTTGGTGTTAAAGATCCCACGGCACTTTTCGAAAAGAGAAGGGAGTTTCTCTCTCCCAGTGTCCTGGCCAACAATTCCATCAAATAAAATCAGTTACTCACTCCATGGCTCTTTGTGGGACATTGCTATGCACAATTGGCTGCCGTGTTTTGCCCTGAAATATACAGTCAATCTACTTTACATTCTCACATTCTCACCCGCACCAAAACCCGCTCCCCAGTCCTTGCCAGACTGCATTGGCTGCCTATCCCAGAGCGGATCGATTTCAAGATCCTCACCCTTGTATTCAAATCCCTCCACTCCTCTGCACCTCCCTACCTCTCTGACCTCCTCTCTCCTTCAAACAGCACCCGTTGTCCTCGATCCTCCGGGTCTGGCCTCCTCCTCGTCCCCCAAGTCCTCCGCTCCACCCTCGGCGACCCTTCCTCACTCTTTTCGCCTCGCCCCCTCTCTTCCTACTTTCAGGTCCCTTCTGAAGACCTTTCTTTTCGACCACGCCTTTGGCCCCCTTCCTCCCCCTCCCCCTGGCTCAGCCCCGGGATTCCTTACTGTGAAGCGCTCTGAGATGCCGTCCGGCGTGGAAGGCGCTATATAAATCCAAGTTGTTGTTGTTGTTGTTTTACAATGTATCTTGTGAAGCGCTTTGAGATGTCTCGATGACATGATAAGACGCTGTATCAAATGCAAGGATTATTACTGTTAAAAACTTTTTGAACAGGTGTTGGGTTGGGGGGGAGCACAGGGGAATCACAACCCTGATGCGAGCCTGATGAACCTCAAATAGGGTCTACTGAATAGTGAGCAGGAGCAAATTCCCTACAATTATCTGAATGCCAGTTGCAGCATCCAACGCAGCACAGAATGGGGATTAAACCCGCGAGCTTCACATTTTGGTCTGGCTCAGCGACTCACTGCATAAATTCACTGAACCACCTAGAGAAGTTTGGTAGCGTAGTGGCTAGCACATTCGTCTCACTGGTGAGAGGACCCATGTTTGATTCCCAGGCTGGGTGAAACCTTAGACGAGTTTCCTTACTCCACCCATCTCTGTTTACCTGGAAATACGTAGGAACCCTAGTTAATCGATTGGCAGATCACTTTCCTGGGGTAATGATCCCTCCTCTCCCCACCCAAACACAATTTACTCACTCAATCCACAACTGTTTGTGGGACACTACCATGCGCAATTGGCTGCCATATTTGTCCCACAAAATACACAGTCAAGCCATGTTGCAATATATTTTGTGAAGCACTTTCAGATGTCTCAATGATGTGATAAAATGGTTTATCAAATTCAAGGATTATTATTATTATAAGCTGCATTGAAAAGTCATAGTTCCTGTGTTTTACTTCAGAAGGACTGACAGCTGATCTCAATCCTATTGAAATAGAACAGGAACTGAGTACTGCGGTGTAATTGAGGGAAAAGTTTAACATTTTTATCTGTTGAAATCAAGTGTTTTTTCATTTTTGTCTCGGCTTACAGTTAATTGCAATGTTTTAACAGAAAACAAGGTGTGTATGCAAGTCCAGGCTTACCATTTGACTTGTTTGTGTTCATCAAGGTGAGGCATGTCGGTGCTGAATAATACAACACTATTTCCTGAACAGCACGTACACAGGGTTATGATTCAATACAGAGTAATTGACACCTACCTCTACGTAATCCACCTCAAAACTGACCCAAGTCCCCTCTATGGGATTCTCCAAGCAGAGATTACCAACCCCTCAAACTGAGCTGGATTCTAAACTAGTTCTCAGTGGCGAATGGGCAGCATATTATTACTGTACCATCCAGTTGTCACTTAAAGAAAAGAATGCGTCAGAATAGCTCAGCTGGTTTCATTCTCACCTCTGGGTCATAAGATGATGGGTTCAAGTCCTGCATTGGCATTAAAAGCACACGGTCTGGGTTAACACCCCAGTGCCGTGCTGGGGGGGCTACTGCATTGTTGGAAGTGCCGTCCTTTGGGTGAAATGTTAAACCAAGGTCCCGTCTGCCTGTTCAGGTAGACATTAAGGATCAAACGGCAGTATTCAAAAAGAGAAGGGACTATCCCTGGTGTCCTGGCCAACTATCCCTCCAGATACAATTCTCATTCGCCTCTAGGCTGTTTGGGGCACATTACTGCACACAAATTGGCAGCTGCACTTACAACCACAAAATACACAGTTATACTTAATGGTACAATTAAAAATTACAAACATGACTGTTTGTGGGATATTGCGGTGGGCAAATGGCTGCCGTTTTTCGCCCACAAAATTCGCAGTCAATTCACTTGACAGTATATTCTGTGAAGTGCTTTGAGCCGTCTCAACGACGTGATAATGCTCTGCATTAAATGCAAGGATTATTATTATTATAGTAAGTTCTGTTAATAGCAGGACATTAAGGTTACGATGCGTTAATAGAGATGTTTTACACCATACTCCCTCGCTGCCACTCTACCTTGCTGATGCTCTGGGTTCTGACAGGACAGCAGCCACTTGCTCTTGGAGCTCGGACTCATCTCAGCTGTTGTGAATGCCGTGGGCGCCAGTTCGATGGAGACAACTCTGTGCCCGCGCAGCAGGAGCCCGTTCCCACTGAAGTAAATGGAGAACAGGTTTGGCACCGAGCCCATGGCGATGAGGTGCCAACTCACATCTCTGTTTTTGCAGAGATTCAGATCTGAAAAGCAGTCACAGCAGAATATACCAATAATACTTGCATTTAATATAGCGCTTTATCACATCTTCGAGATTTCTCAAAGCGCTTCACAGAATACATTGTAAAATGAATTGACTGATTATATTATGGGTAAAACATGGCAGCCAATTTTGCACAGCAATGTCCAGTAAGCAGTCATGTATTGAGTGACCCAATTTTTTTTAAAAGGGATTATTACTCCCGGAAAGCGATCCGACAAACATCTATCAACGGGGTTCCTACTTACGCCTGGGTAAACAGAGGCTTGTGGAGTAAGGAAACTTGCCTAAGGTTTTGCCCTGCCCAGGAATCAAACCTAACTCCTCTCACTTGCGAGGCAAGCACTCTTACCACTGCCCAACAGGACTTGACAGACACCAAACAGGAATCACCAAACATCTTCTTTCAATGGCATAGTTCATGTTATCTGGACTTAAAATCTATCATTCGTAATTAGAAATTATAGTGAAATTGACCAATACCCTCTTCCTCTGTGCCCCAACCTCCCCCATCAGAATACGTTGCTTTATCTTACTGGATTCCTTATACATTGGTTTCTTTTCTTACTCTTAGCTGTTTTGGGTCCCCAAGACAAATGACGCAATACATGAAATTAATAATATTTTCACAGGTACACATCGGCCATGATCTCATAGAATGGGTATCCCTTGATACCCTGAACAAACAAGTAGTTGAGACCAAAGTTACGTTGGTCTCATGTTGTTGTCAGGTGCTACTAATATCTAATTCATTATTAATTAATTAATGGAGGGAATCCAAAATGGAGTTCCAGAAAACAGAAACAGAATGGGTGAAAGTGGGCAGGGAATCTGAAGTAGGCCTGTGTTGCAAATTAAATGCAAAGATCAGTGTGGAGTGCTGTAGTGCAATGGTTAGTCACTCGCCTCGCAAGTGAGAGGGTTCGATTTGGGACAAAACCTGAGGAAAGTTTCCTTACTCCACACACCTCTGTTTACCTAGCAATAAATAAGAACCTTGTTGTTAAAAAAAAATGGTCATTCAATCCACGACTGTTTGTGGGACACTGATGTGTGCAATTGGCTGCTGCGTTTCATCCACAAAATACACAGTCACTCCACTTTACAGTATATTCTGTAAAGACGCTTTGAGATGTCTCACCAATGTGATTGGTGCTATATCAAATGCAAGGATTATTATTACTAATTTAGAGGTTAAAAGGATTTATCTGCAGCACATAGCACAGGCCTGTGAAGGTGATGGCACTGACCTGGTAAGGAGGAGTTGATGTAGCCATTGATGGAGTACATGAGACGTTTGCTTTTCCGAGGCCCTGGGATCTTGTACTTGATTCTGTCCGTTTCCAGGTACCAACTTTTGCTTTCATCAATGACAGAAAACAAGAGCACAAACTCTTGTTGGTTGACCTGCTTTCCCAGTGAGTTCAGAGTGCCTGAGGAGGCAATCATACACCCATTTCAAACCACTTCTCATTTGTAAAAATATAAACCAACTAGTGACTATCCTCCTCGGGCGAGGTGAGCAGGGTGTCTTGGAACTGAACTGACGCCAAGGTGACATGCCTGGCAATGGAATGTTAGAGTTCTCACTCACCATGCTTACAGATGAGGATTGCTCCGATCAGACCCGAGTTGAAGTCCCTCACTTGATCCACGTGTGAAGAGTAAGCGGACGTCAGGCAGCGTGAGTCGCCATCCAATGGCCCCAGGTTGTCGGTGATCTCCCAGACATACACGTACTCGCCTTTGGGTTTTACCACATCATCTTCCTTCTCGGAGGCGGATGTGTGGTCATTGTACGAAGCACCTGAGCATGGAATATTTCTTTGTTATTATTACTGTACTCCTTGCATTTGATATAGGGCCTTATCACATCTTCGAGCCATCTCCAAACGCTTCACACAGTAAACTGTAAAGTGAATTGACTGTATATTTTGTGGGAGAAACCCTGCAGCCAACGCTGCAATCCCACACACAGTCGTGGATAGAGTGACCACATTTTTTTTTCAAAGGGATTGTTACCTCCGGAAAAAGCAATCCACCGATCGACTAACAATCGAGTTCCTATCTACTGTTAGGTAAACAGAAGCGTGTGAAGGAAAGAAACTTGCCTCAGGTTTCACCCTGCCCAGGAAGCAAACCCAGGTCCTCTCGCTTGCGAAGCTACTCCAGTAACACAAGAGAGATGAAAGGGAATAATATTGTAAGTGTTGTGCTGACTCAATAACCATCTAGAAGCTTGCCATGGTTCACAAGGGGAAGGTTGTTTGGCTTTACCTGGTTAATCTGCAGCAGTTACCCTCTCCCTAACCCCCCCCCAACCATCACGCACTCTGTGGTCCTTTAACCTTGGCTCGGGACAACCTGTGTCTCCCTCCATTGCCAGACACACAGAAACTGTATGTGAAGCTTTCAGTAGTTTGGGTGAAGACTCTTAAGTGTGGTCATGGGTTTATGCATGTCTCAGACCAAAAAGTAAAGCTATTTTTGCCAGTGGGGCTGTGGAATCTAAGGCTGAAACTGGAGCCCATCGCCTCTCTGGTTCACAGCCTCTGGCACATGAGGTGCATTACTCAACAGCTGACTGTCTAACGCATTATGTGTGACTCACCTTCAGACATCTTCCAGTAGGAGATCCCATATGGATGAATACTGTACGGGCGCGAGGCTAGATTCTTAAAGTGGATTATTACTTTGTCGTTGACTTCGGCTCGAATGGTGGGTCCCAGAATCCCTAGAAGAGACAGTAAGATGTCACTTAGGTGTCAGCCTTGGCCAGGTCGGCAGCACTCGCACCTCTGAGCCCGAAAGTTGTGGGTTCAAGCTGCACATCAATGACTTTGACTTCACATAGTCTAGGCTAGGGTGGTGCTGCATCATTGGAGATGCCATTGTATGATGAGACGTTAAACAAGGTTGCCTGTTCAGGTGGACATTAAAGATCCCATGACACAACTTGGAAAGTGAAGGGACTTTCTCGTAATGTCTAACCCAACAATCCTCCAGGTAAAATTGGTCATTGACTTCATGGCTTTTTGTGGGACATTGCTGTGTGCAAATTTGGCTGACATGTTGGCCTACAAAATACACAATCACTACAATTCACCGTAAAATCCTGTGGAGACATAATATTTACTACTTTTTCATATTATACTAGTTAACATGCAATGACAATCCTTGCATTGGATACAGCCTTTCCCTTTGATTTGAATATTAATAATATTCATTGAATTTGATATCTTATCATGCTGTTAAGACATCTCAAAGAGCTTAACAGAATATCCTGTAAAGTGAATTGACTGTGCATTTTGTTCAGGAAAGAAAGCCGCTGTATCAAATGCAAGGATCGTGATCGCATGTTAACTAGCATAGTGGAGTCCTGTAGCTCAGTGGTTAGAGCACTCGCTTTGCAAGCGAGAGACCTGAGTTCAATTCCAGGCAGAGGGCGAAACCTTGGGCAAGTTTCCTTACTCCACACGCCTAATAATAATCCCTCCAAAAACCCAAAACAATAATAAATTGGTCATTTTCAATCTACGACTGTTTGTGGGACATTGCTGTGCGCAATTGGCTGCCGCGTTTGCCCACAAATATACAGTCAATTCACTTTACAGTGTGTTCTGTGAAGCGCTTTGGGACGTCCTCCCGACGTGAAAAGCGCTATATCAAATGCAAGGATTATTATTATTATTATTATTATTATAGTATTAAAAAAATAGTAAATATCTTGTCACAATGTTTTATATGAGATTGCATCCCAGTGTGTGCCTGTTGTGCTGCATCTGAGCTGTCTCTTATATGCTTTGGAAATATGTACAGTAAATCCAGGCTACCACACCGCACTCTGGGTGTCCGGAATTGGAATTGGAATCTAGCTGGACCAGGCCCGAAACATTTCTGTGGGGCCAGGCACTGACTGACCCTGATCCTGGCATTAACTGGCATTTTCAGCCCTGAAAAAAGCCAGTAAATTCCAGTGCCAGCATTGTAATTATCCTTATCCATAGGTAGGGTGGTCCTAACTGGATAAGCAGTGGGAAAGCTTATCGGACAGTGCTACTGATGGCAAGCTATGCAATTTTAGCTGGTTAGACTCCAGCGGTTACCCCAATGCACACTCTGGGGTCCCCAAGTCTTGGCTCTTGCCAACCTGCACTTAATACTTTCTGGGAATTAGGTAAGCCGGATGCATTCCTCCAAGGAGAGAGTATGTATTCCATACCAACAATCTATCTCTAAAATGTCCAGCTGTAGGTGGGATGCATGGATTTGTCAGTTTGGTTTGGATGCTCTTAAATATGAAAACCTGTGATGGGTTTCCACGTGTGTCAGATACACATACGAAAATTACAATTAGCTGGAAATTCTCCCCATCCAACCAGCTGGGGGGTTTTAGTATATATAAAGTAAGAAAAAAACACCCAAAGTCCTGGATCACAGAGCGCAAAGTATCCCCTGAGGCAGTGATTGATGTGAGGTAGAGACTGATGGATGTGGATTCTGATATGAACAAGGTCCACTCATTACAAGGATTGGTGTTTGCAGCCCACTCAATCCCTTTAACACAATCATTGCTCACAATACAGTATAAATAGCGCTATTGCTTCTCATACTATAGATGGACTATAGATGGACCAAAGAGCGAAATGTTTCATTGCCTTCCTCCCCAACCCTTTCTCCTTCTGTTGACCTTGTAATATTTCATCCTGCTTGGCCACTATTTTAAGACTAACTCTCCCAGCGACAGTTTGATTCCATCTTCTGAACTCTACCCTTCCTTCTTCTAAATGTTCCAATAAATCTCCGCACGCACAATGCTCGGGGATCGCTTTAAGTGCAGGTCAACTCTACTTCCCAGCTGCCAGGATGAGCAATGGAAGTTTCCCAGTTTCTGGGTTCTGTGCAGTGTCACGTTTACTGCCCTGTTTGGACCTCCTCTTCTTCCTCCTTCTCTTCGACCAAGCCTACATCCCACCTTCCCCTGGCTTGGCGTCAGGCTCCACTACTGTTAAGTGCTCTGAGATATATAAACGCAATTTGTTCTTGTTGCAGTAGTTGGTGGACCAGACATGGCTTTCCTCTCTCTCTCACACACTCTCTCTCTCTCTCTCTCTCCCTGTACTCTGCAAAAAGGAAGCAGAGCCTTCTCCATTACAACAACAACAATAACAAAATTACATTTGTAAATGTCGGGAGGACATCCAAGGCTCTGAACATTTGGGGATCAGGACCCGGGCATGGGGTGGGGGCAGGGCTGGGATGAGTGAGGGCAGAGGGGGGGTAGGAGGACGGCTGAACTCATGGTTGAAGAGGATGGTCTTATTCGTGCCTTGAAAGAGGCAAGGGGGGGAGCAAGGTGAAGGGACTGGATGGAGTTCCCAAGAGTGGGGCAGAGAGGCTGATAGCCCAGTCGCCGATGGTAGGGCAGGTCGTTTGGGAGACATGCAGTAGGCTGGAGCCTGCTGAAGGGAGGGAGCAGACAGGTTGATAGGTGGTTAGCATGTCAGAGAGCTAGGAGGGGACAAAGCCGTGGAGGGCCTTGCAAGTGTGGATGAGGATTTTGAATTCTATCTTCCGAGGGATGGGGAGCCAGTGGAGCCGGGTGAGGGTGAGGGTGATAGGGTCATGGAGCCTAGTGCGGGAGAGGACACAAGCTGCAGAGTTCTGGATGATCTGCAGCTTGTGGAGGGAAGAGTTTGGGACGACACTGCAATAAATCAGGGAACAGAGGGTCACTACAGATATATTGCCCTGCACAGCCTTCCTCCCCTCTGCATCCCCATTATGTGGAAATAAAAACTCAATTGGTTCAAAGACTTTAAAGTTGTAGTACTTGTGACCTTCCTAAAGCCCCCAAATACCATCCAGTCTTAGCCTGTAAGACTACGTTGCTTTAAAATTTAAGATCGGATTTTTTTTAAATCCAGTCTTAATTTGGGTTTCTTTTTAATAATTAGTTATTACAAACTACGAGCTTCCAAACTAAATCTAGATGCAAGAATCATCCACAATCCTGGGTTGATCATACATTTTAAAACAAAATGGTCTTTCAGAGTAAGCCAGGGTGTTATTTTGAGCTTGTTGTGTTTCTGCCTCCTGTGTAATTCCCAAAATTGGTGTCACGTGATTACATGCTTCGGGAATTATCTCATCCTCTCTCCTAATCTTTTCAGCCTTGGTGGTATCCGGCGATGTGAGCCCTCGCCCTTCACCTAGCTTTTGCTATGAAACGAAGAGGCAAAAAAAAAGAATAGGATCTTAGACTCTACTCTTAGTACAGAAGGAAGCCATTCGGGCCTATTGTGCCTGTGCTGAGCTATCCAATTAATCCCACTCCCCCTACTCTTTCCCCCGTAGGCTTTGCAATGTTTTTCTTTGCAAGTAAATATCCAATTCCATAATAATCCCTTCAAAAAAATAAATAATAATTTGGTCACTTCTGAGCATTTCTCTAATTGTTAATAGTAGACAACAACCACAACGGCAACAAAATTACATTTGCATAGCGCCTTTCATGTCAGGAGGACTTCTCAAAGCGCTGGACAGACAGAGTCTTGGACACGATCTGGGGATCGGGATAGGGGAGGGTGGAGGGCAGGGGGTCGGAACTAGGGCGATCAAAAGCACAGTCGAAGAGGAGGGTTCTTGAGGTGGGTCTTCAAGGAGGCAAGGGAGGGGACGAGGCAGAGAGACTGCAGGACGGAGTTCCAAAGGGTGGGGGCAGAGTGGCACAAGGTCTGTCCACCAATAGTGGGGAGAACGAGGCGGGGGACATGAAGCAGGCCGGAGCCCTACGAGCGGAGGGAGCAAGCAGTATGGTAGGGTTTTGGAGGTCACTGAGGTAGGGGGGAGCAAGATCATGGAGGGCTTTGAAGGTGAGGACCAGGATCTTGAACTGTATCCTCTGAGTGATGGGAAGCCAGTGGAGTTGGACGAGGATGGGGGTGATAGGGTCACAGAGCCTGGTGTGAGATAGGGCACAGGCAGCAGAGTTCTGGATGATCTGCAGCCTATAGAGGGAGGAGTTGGGGAGGCCAACAAGCAAGGAGTTGCATAGTTAAGCCTCGATGTAATAAAAGCATGTCTGAGGGTTTCGGAGCCTGTGGAGTGAGACAATGGCGGAGCTGGGCAATGTTGCGGAGGTGGGAAGGCAGAGCGGATCATGGCACAGATGTAGGGTAGAAAGGATAGTTGAGGGTGAAACAAGACCCCAAAGTTCTGAACTGGCTTAGTAAGGTGGAGTGTGCATCCATGGATGGTGATGCTGTCAGCGCCTGAGGTGAAGAGGCACTGATGGGAGCCAATCAGGAGAGCCTCGATCTTGTTGACATTCAACTGAAGAAAGTTAGCTCTCATCCAGGACTTGATGTCTGACAGACATTCTGAGGAGGGTGTAGCAGACTGAATGGCAGAGGCAGCAGAGCAGATCCCCTCGACTTTGGATTCGAGAAGTCCAGCGTCGCAGTTGCCATTTGAGGTAAGGATGGGCGAGGGAGGCGTGAGAGGGTGGACGGAGGAGCCAGTTGATTATGGAGAAGAGGAGGCTGGGGTTGTCCTTGTCTTGGAGTAGAACAACAACTTGCATTTATATAGTGCCCCTGACACAGGGTAGCTTCCCAGAGTGTTTCAATGCTCGACGACTGCCAACAGTTAAAGCAATAACCTTTGCCTTTAATATAGGCTCTTTAACCGTAACTAGTCAAAGAGCTTCACAGATACAGTAATAGTTGTCTTGTGTAGCGACTGTGTATTTGTAGGCAAATCCAGGAGCTAATTTGCACATAGAAAAGTGACCACAAACAGCTTTCAGATGAATGACCGACCAATCTTACCTTGAAAGGACTATTGGCCAGGACACTGGGAGAAACACCATTCTCTTTTTAACTTGTGTCTTAGGAACTTTAATGCCCACTTGAACATGCCGACAGGACTCGGGATCAATGTCTCGCCTGTCAGGACAGCATCTCCAACAAGGCTGAGCTCAAAACCCCGCAGTGGGGCTTGAACCCGCAGACCAGAGCACGGCTGGCTGACCCAAGCTGAGACCCCACAAATAGAACAACCCAACAATTGGAAAATACAACAGGGGAGAGAAAACCAGCATCAATCACAACATGACATAAATACTGAAGAAATACCAAGCTGTTATTTGTTGTGCCGGATGGTGTACAGAGGAAATAGTCTCAGTAGCTGTGAACTATCAGTGAACAGCACAAGGTTTGAGCTGTTATGCTTGGCAGCAGCAAATGTAAAGGATCGTGTGGTCAACCCTAACCAGTCAGATTGTGGTCAGGTCGTATTAAGGTCAGATTCTGTAAACTGGGAGTTTGCTGGGGGAAAGAGGAGATGGAGGCAGATGAGGGGGGGTTTTAGATTGACGTTGGATGATGGGATGTGTGTCAGAGCACGAAACACAGCAGTGCACTCATTCTTCACGATTGGAAGTGGCATTTCATCTGCTTTCTGCATACAGCAGAATTAAACCCTCGAAAGGCAAACTACTGCAGGTGCTAGCCTTCTGAAATAAAAATAAAACATCTGGGAAGACTCAGCAGGTCAGGAAGCATCTATGGAGAATAGAAAGTGAGTTAACGTTTCTGGTCAATGACCTTTTGTTAAGTTGTGACACAAACTAGGTTGTCGTTCTGATGAAAGGTCATTGGCCTTAGACGTTAACTCCTTTTCCTCTCTCCATAGATGCTGCCTGACCTGCCGAGTGTTCCCAGCGACTTCTGTTTTTAGAACTAAAGTGCCTTCCATCAACCGAAACCTCCTGTGCTTGGTGTTTCAGGACTGGAGCAATCAAAGACAGAGAAAGCCACCGGCTGTGCTGCCCAGTTTTTTTTTACTTCAGACACAAGGTTCGTTACTGAGCCCGGCATTATTATTATCAGGCGTGTGGGAGTAAGGAAACTTGCCCAAGGTTTTGCCCTTCTGGGAATCAAACTCAGATCTCTCACTTGCGAGGCGAATGCTCTAACCACTGAGCTACAGGACTCTGTCTCGGGCTTGTCTAGGGCAACAAGGAGACTAGCTTGTGAGGTGCTACCTGGATAGTATCTGACTCGTATCTATGGAGACCTGGGTCACTCACCATATAACCCAGAGAAAATAATAATACTCCTTGCATTTGATATAGCATTTTATAATGTCATTGAGACGTCTCACAGTGCTTCACAGAGTATACTGTAAAGTGAATTGACTGTATCTTTGTGGGTGAAACCAGAAGCCAATTGCACACAGCGGAGTCCCACAAACAGTCGTGGATTGAGTCACCAAATTAGAATGTTTTGGGGGAGGGATTATTACCCCCCGGAAAGTGATCTGCCAATTGACTAACTACCAGGTTCCTACTTACTCCGAGGTCAACAGATAAGCCTAGCAACTAATACAGTCTAACTCTCCACGCTCCTCGTCCCCTCCGCAATCTCAGATGTCAATGTCATTTCTTACCCATCCACTTAGGCTTCGTCTCCGGTGTCAGAAACTTGGAGTCTTTAAACTCGACGTAAACTGTCTTCCTGTAATGAGTGGACGTGCGGGAAGGGGATACAAAACTGCAAAAACAAATGCAAGCTTAAACACACCAACAACGCCTACAAATACACAGTCACTACACTTCACAGTAAAATCCGGTGAAGCGTTTCGAAGTGTTTGAACAACGTGAATACCAAATGGTCTATACCAAATGCAATGATTATTAATGATAGTTAATAAAGATTTCTCCCTGTTAGCCTTGCTCCCTTGAGTTTTTCTGAGCTCTGCAGCACTCTGACTGGGAGGCAAGTTACTTTTAGACATCTGCCAACACTGCCGTGATCCTACTTGTTGGAGAGCCCCAGGGTTGCTTCACTCAGATTTTCCACCCCGTCTTCTGTCATGAAATGTTCTGAATTTTCCAAAGTGGGACAACTGGTTTTAATAATAGTAATAATCCTCACATTTGATATAACGCCTCATCACATTATTGAGACATCTCAAAGCGCTTCACACAATATATTATAAAGTGGATATTGTATTTTGTGGGCAAAACCCGTAGCCAATGGCACACAGCAGTGTCCCACAAACAGTCAGTGACTAATTGTTTTCTTTTTGGAGAGACTATCACCCTAGGAAAATAATCCTCCAATTGACTAACAACCGGGTTCCTACTTACTGCGAGGTAAACAGAGACATGTGGAGTAAGGAAACTTGCCTAAGGTTACCCCCGCCTAGAATCAAACCCGGGTTTTCTCGCATGCAAGGCGAGCGCACTAACCATTACACCACAGGACTACACAGTTTATGGTCCAGACAAGCTCCCATTCCTTCTAGTCCCCTCTCCTAGACTTCCATATTCCCTTCTTCCTCATGGGTGCATCACCTTCTCTTAAATACACTGATGCTAGGCACTTCAACCAGAAGAGTTCCACATTCTCACCACCCTCTGTGTGGAGAAGTTCCTCCTAAATTCCCTATTAGATTTAAGGTTAGATACAAAGTGGTTGTTGTTGTTGTTGTTGTTGTTGTAGATGACCAGAAGCTATCTTATGTTTATGTCCTCTAGTTATGGACTTACCAGCAAGAACATAAGAATTGCTAAGGAAAGAAAACCAGAGTCCATCCAGTTCGCTTTCCACCATTCTGGCGTTCTCATGCACATGTCATGTCCCAAACTGTGTTCTGTCTCCCAAGATATTATTTCTTAAACCAGCTACCTCATTTGCAAATATAAACAGCTTATCAATGGTCCACCTTATCGAATCCTTTAATCTTCCCGTACACCTCTAATCAGCTCTGTAATTTTAAATGTTTATACTCACCTATATCTCGCTCCCAGCTCAGACAACAGATCGCTGTTCAGGTAATCCCAGTTAAACTCCACAGCTGCGATGTAGTATTCCCTGACTGTCGTCCCTGCATCTTGGACAGTGAGGAGCAGAAGCAGCAAGCCACACAACACTGAGGTCCTCATGTCTGCGTTTACTCACTGGGCTTCTGGTGTCCTGGCCTCAGCGACCTGTTCCAGTCAATATAGCTGCACAAAGTCTGGGTGCGACACTCGATTGAGTGAGAATGGGCCTGGATGGCGGAAACTTCCAGAGTCTTTTGCTTTCCTGGGGATGTTTTGCTTTCTTCAACTCAGAAGCAGGAACTTGTTAAGGAAGACTAGGTCAGCATATTGGCATGCTCTCAAAAGATAGCACGATTTACAGCCAACCAGAGGCCCTGAGCTCGGGAGAGAAAGCCATCAGGATTTGGCCAGCCTTCCACTGGCACACGGAGTTCTCACCACCCCCTGGGTTGACACAGTGAGGCGTGTAAATCTGGGCAGGACGTCCCCAGCACCAGCAAGAATCCCTTCCTCACGCAGCGAGACTGGCCCTGAATACCTCTTCAGAAAGTCCAATACAGGGCTTTATCTTTAACGTCACTGATTTTTTTTCCCTCTTTTTTGTTATTGTTATTTTTTTAAACATTCAAACAAAGAGGGCTTGTGATTTTACCAGAGAATACAGCCTTACTGGAGTAACATAGGAGTTAGTGGGCTTGACAGGGGAGCTGCAGTAACAACAGCAACAACAACAACATGCATTTATATAGCGCCCCTCACACAGGGTAGTGTCCCAGAGCGCTTCATCATTAGTTATTGACAATGGGAGCTGACTCGGAGGAGTTAATATTGCATGAAAACATAAGAATTTGCTAGGCAAAAGAAAACCAAGGTGCATCTAGTTCGCCCTCCACCATCCTGGCAGTCGCTTGACATGTCGTGTTCCAAACTATATATTGTATCCTGAGATATTATTTTCTAGCAGGAATCTATCTAATTTGTTCTTGTAACAAATCTATCTAATTTGTTCTTGAACTAATGACACTTTCAGCTTGACCGACCGACCGACCGACCTACCTACCGACCTACCTACCTACATTTTCAAGTTATTGTGCTTGATAGTGTGGGGGAGCTAGAGTAACATTGGTAGCGATAATCAGTGGAGATGTTACGCGTGAGTTTAGATCTTCAGAAGTCATCCTCAAGCTATATAATGTTCTGCTCAGGCTACCCCTAGAAATACTGTGTACAGATCTGATCACAAGGGCCATGATCAAGCCCCATGGAAGCCGTGTAGAGGAGAACAATGAGAATGATCCCCACTGTTAGAGGAATGAGCTATGACAATGATTAGACAAGCGAGGGGGCTTCAGTCATGAGAGAAGACATATTGGATAGGACCTTACAGAGCTGTATAACATTTTAAATGCGATTGAAAAAGTAAACCCAGGACAATACTTTCGGATACACCAAGAGGTTTAGAGTTGCGAAGCGCAATTTCAAGACAGGCACCAGGAAGAATTTCTTTACCCAGAGAATAATTAATGACTCGAGCAGGTTACCAGGAAGTATAGTTGAGGCCAGGACACTGGACTCATTTAAAAATAGCTTGATGCTGTGTTGGGAAGATGGTAAAGAGGAAAGATGAGATCAAATGCACATTTTTTCTTCTTTGTTCAGCTGGTGCAAAATGTAATCAGGGTCTCTTAATTGCAAGCCTGGCTCAGTTGATAGTCCCCTCACCTGAGTCAGAAGATTATTGGTTTAAACCCCACATCGGGCTTGCAACTCATGTAGTATAAAGCCAACACTCCAATGTGGTGCTGTTGGTGTGCTGTGTTGATCAAGGTGCCGTGCTTCAGATGAAATGTTAGACCGAGGTCATGTCTGCCTGTTCAGGTGATGTTAAAGATCCCATGGCGCTATTGTGAAAAGATAAGGGTGTTCCTTCTGGTGTTCTGTCCAACAACCCTCCCCAAATAATTCATTCACTCTTTGGCTGCTTGTGGAACATGGTTGTGTGCAAATTGGCTGCTGCGTTTCACCCACAAAATACAGTCACTCCACTTTACAGTATATCCTGTGAAGCTTTGGGACATTCAGAGTGAGGGGGGGGAGGAGGGGAGCTATATAAATGCAAGTTGTTGTTGTTGTTGTTCTCCTGGTGTTAAAGGCATTATACCAAATTCATAAAAATAATAATTAAGATTTGTAATAGTTAATAATAATTATTAATAATATTTGCATTTTATATAACGCCTTTCAATTATTATTATTGTTATTGTTATTAATCACTTTAAAGCTGTGGTGTGCCATTTCATTCAATGCAAAGCAACGTCTAACAGTGTAGTATTCTTCCAGGTCACGAGAGGGAGCACGTTGCCACTTGTTGCTCACATGCCCCCTCTAGTGGCAAACATATATCTCATCTTCCTTGGTACATGGGTCACGTATGATCTCTGCCTTAAGGCGCTGATGTGGGAGACTGTCTTATCTCTGCAGAGCATCCATGTCTCAAAATGCATAGTGGGATACATCCAGTTTGGATCCTCTCTGAAATCTGGAACCGTTGACGACACTCTGTGATGTGGACGCCCACTTTATGAAGGACTTCAAGACCATGGAGAGGATGCAGTTGGACATTTATTTGGATGTTACCAAAGATGAAAGGCTGGAGAAACTGGGGCTGTTTTCACTGGAATAGAGAAGGGATGAGAGAAGATATATTAGAAGTGTTCCAAATGATGAGAGGTTTGAGCTGAGTTACAAGGTTCAAGGAGCCTCAGGCGTCAAGTCAGATTATGGCTAAAGGAGACACCAAACAGGGGACTGACATCCGAGTGGAATTCCTAATCGAAGCATTGGGCATTGTGTCATCCTAGCTCAGTGGGCAGCACTCTCACTTCTGAGCCAGAAGGTTGTGGGTTCAAGCCCCATCTCAGTACTTGGAACTCATATAGTTTAAGCTAACACTCCAGTGCAGGGACTGCAGTGTGCTGCGTTGTTGGAGGTGCTGTCATAGGAACATAGAAACAGGAGTAGGCCAGTCAGCCCTTTGAGCCTGTTCCGCCATTTAATTATCTCACGGCTAATCTATATCTTTACTAGAATTTCAAATCCAATTTCCGGCTTTCTTACCGTATCCCTTAATACACCGACCAACCAAAAATCTGTCAATCTCTTTCTTGAAGGTGTGAATGGATGAGGCATCCACGACCTTTTGGGGGAGAGAGTTCCAGATTTCTACCACCCTTTGAGTGAAAAAATGCTTCCTAATTTCACTCTTAAATGGTCTGGTTCTAATTTTAAGACTATTCCCCCTTGTTTTGCATTCCCCCAACATAGGAAATAGCTTTTCTGCATCTACTCTATCAAATCCCTTTATCATCCTAAAACCTCTATCAAATCACCCCTCAATCTTCCAAACTCGAGAGAATACAATCCAAGTTTAAGCAGCCTTTCCTTGTAACTTAACCCTTTTTGGCCTGGTAACATTCTGGTGAACCTGCGCTGCACCCCCTCCAAGGCCAATATATCTTTCCTGTGGTGTGGTGCCCAAAACTGAACACAGTACTCCAGGTGGGGTCTGACTAACGCTCTATACACCTGAAGCATCATTTCTTCCCCTTTGTTTTCCAGGCGTCTCCAGGTAAAGGCCAACATATTATTTGCCTTTTTGATTATGTTTTGCACCTGGGAACGAGTTTTTAGTGATTTGTGGATATAGACACCCAAATCTTTTTGCTCTTCCACAGTTCTTAATTTCTCCCCGTTAAGAAAATATTCTGCCCTATCTTTTTTCAGTCCATAGTGGATGACCTCGCACTTCCCTACATTGAACTTCATCTGCCACAGCTTTGACCACTCACTTAATCTGTCTTAAGTCCCTCTGTGAGTTTCTACTCCCATCTTCACTACTTGCTGAGCCTTCTATCTTAGTGTCATCCACAAACTTGGATATAAAACTTTCTGTTTCTTCATCCAAGTCATTTATGTATATGGCAAAAAGCTGAGGTCCCAGGAGAGACCCCTGGGGGACACCACTTGTCACGTCCTCCCAATCAAAGAACGTTCCCTTAATCCCTACCCTCTGTTTTCTGCCTCCCAACCAATTGTGAAGCCACGTCACAAGGTTACCTCCGATTCCGTGCGCTCCTATTTTTGCTAATAATCTTTTGTGTGGAACCTTATCAAATGCCTTCTGAAAGTCCATGTAAACGACATTCTCTTATCGACTATTTTAGTGACTTCCTCAAAAAATTCAACTAGATTAGTTCGGCACCACCTGCCCTTTACAAACCCATGCTGACTCCCTTTGATAAACTCATACCTCTCCAAATGTTCAGTCACTCTGTCCCTGATGATGGATTCCAGTAACTTCCCTACAACTGAAGTTAAACTGACAGGTCTGTAATTTCCTGGTTTCTCCCTCCCTCCCTTCTTAAATAAAGGGGTGACATTGGCAATTTTCCAGCCCAAGGGCACAATTCCCGAATGTAGTGATCCAATGCATCTAAAATTTTCTCTCCTATTTCCTTTAATACCCTGGGGTGGAAACTGTCAGGTCCTAAAGATTTGCCTGTTTTGAGTCTCACTATTTTTTCCATCACCATTTTTTTATTTATGATTAGTTTATTAAGTATTTCTTTTTGACCTACTTTCAGGTTCCTTTGTATGCTTGGTATTTCGTCCTCATCTTCTACTGTAAAAACTGTAGCAAAGTACTTATTTAGCAAGTCAGACATATCTTTATTTTCTATTATAATCTCTCCTGTATCTGCCTTTAATGGACCCACATTCGCCTTTACCATTCTCTTTCTCTTGATATATTTATAAAAGCTCTTACTATTGGTTTTGACGTCCCTTGCAAGTTTTTGTTCATACTCCCCTTTTGCTCCTTTTATTACTTACTTTGTCTCCCTTTGTTGCCTTTTGTATTTCTCCCAGGCCTCTGCATTCCCACTATATTTTGCATTTGAGTAAGCTTCTTCTTTTAGCTTGATGGAATCTCTAACCAATTTTGTCCTCAATGGTTGTTTAACTACATAATTGGAGACTTTGTATTTTAGGGGTATGAACTTGTTCTGCACAGTATCAAGTACTTTTTNGAATACTTCCCATTGCTCATCTGTAGGTTTACCCACTAGAAATTCAGCCCACTTTACTGTGGTCAATATAGTCCTCATCCCATTGAAGTTTGCCTTTCTTGAATTTAGAACCTTGGTTTGGGACTCCCCCTTCTCCCACTCAAACCTAATGTCA